ATTGTGCGATTTTCAACACGTATCTACCAAGTATAGATAGGTACATCCTACTAATTCCTACTAAATATTACTACCATTCCTACTAATATTTTTATTAATATTAGGTAGGTGTAAATAGTGTGAATGTTTGTGAGAATGTAATTCTTTCACGCAAAAACGACTGGACCAGTTTTTTAATTATTTGTATTAAACTTAAAACTTTATTTATTTACCTAGTAATTATCGTGAATTAAAGTATTGACTTTAACTTGTTCAGGGAGAATTATGACTCCGGTAACCTCACTCACACGGCGAAACACAAGATAAGTGTTGCTTCACGCCGGATTTCTGTGAGGCCGTGGTATCACTCCGGTAGATTTTACCTATACCTAGGCTCTCCCACAGATAAATATTACTCTAAGAGAAAATTGAGATATCCAATCAAAAATAAATCCGAATATTAGATCCTTTCGTCGTGCGAAGTAGGAGTTGGCTAGTCCAAACTTAATATTATAAATACGAAAGTAACTCTGTCTGTCGATCTGTCGCTCTATCTGTCTGTTTGTCTATCTGTATGCCTTTTCTTCAGGCCTAATTTACTGAACCGATTTCTGTGAAATTTGGTACAGACATAGTTTGGAACTCGAGAAAGGACATAGGATAGTATTTATACCAAAAATCTGCAGGAAGTCACTATTGCACGCGAACGGAGTCGCGGGCAAAAGCTAGTTTTTAATAAATTACTAAACTATATTTAATATTACAGCAATCGATACAGCAACATATACCGGAGCGCTTGCGTCGAACCAGAGAACGCGTGAACCGGCTCGCTTACAGACCTTCGGGCAGCACAGGATATGAACAATACCCACAGGTAATTGAAACTTAAAACTCCGCTCGGGTCTGGTTCTGGTCGGGCGGCGAGCTACCCTTACTCGCCGTCCGTAGACCTGCGCTTGCGGTGGCCGGAAATCATTTCTTCTTCCTCACGCGCTCCGCCCCCTCCTTTGCGAGCATCACTGCTTCGCAGAAAGAGCAGACGGCTTCCCAGTTCCTCTCGCTACGAACCATGGCCTCGACTAAGGCCGGGTGCGAGAGGTCAGATAGGTGATACCCTGGATTACCACATAGGCTGCTTTTTATCAACATACTACGCGGACAAAGTCGCGGGCGGTAGCTAGTATTTTTTGGATAATCAACGAGTAACATGTAGTATTTTTTAATGTTGTTTTCCTTTTTCAGGACCGTTACAAGGTCACTCACGTACACAGCGGGACTCAAATGGAATATCACAGATCTACACAGAAATATGAAATCGATAACCGCGGAACGCAAACTGAACCAACCGGCTCTAAATGCATACCGCAACAAATCAATTTCTGCAGCACAACTACTATAGCTTATAGCCACAACAATAGTAACAGGGGTACTTATCCCCATGGGGCATATCCACAACCCGGTTACCCTCAAGGCGGGGGATATCCCCAAAGCCCTGAGTATCCAAGCGGGGGACCATATCAACAAGGATATCCGCAGTATTCTGGACAGGTGAGAAGATACGTTAAGTGATTGGTAGGTATGTGGTTATAATGTTGTAAGCCTTGCTCGTTAAGGGCCCGCTTCTCATGCATAAGGATGCGATTTCGAAACCTGGCAAGTACCAATGTGACTTTTTCCAAGTTATATGTACTTTCTATCATTATATAGACACCACTGACATACGGTGAAGGAAAACATCGCGAGGACAAGAATTATAATGTTTAATTATATTAAGTTTGGAATCGGTAATCGCCTTGAGCAAGCGTGGTTAATGCTCAAACCTTCTCCGTGTGAGAAGAGGCCTTTGCTTAGCAGTGAGCACTTTAGGCTGATGATGTGTAAAGCTCTGACTATCAGGCAAGCTAATAGATATTGAAAAGGTACCAATTTCAAATACAAACTAACCAAGTACTATATTTATAGTAACTACAAGTCACATTAAAAATCAAATATAAAATATTTAAATGTGGGAGAGCCATGCTTCGGCACGAATGGGTCGGCTCGACTGGAGTGATACTACGGCCTCACAGAAAACCGGTGTGAAACAACCACAGCATTGTGTTTCACCGTGAGACTGAGGTTACCGGAGGCCCAATTCTTCCCCTTCCCCAATCCCTAATCCCCAAAAGGTCGGGAACGCATTCGTAACTTTGCTCTTGTTGCGGCTGTCCATGGGTGGCGCTGATGGCTTACCATCAGGTAAACAGTTTGCTCGTTTGATAACCTATCACCTATCAAATAAAAAAACCAAAAAATTACGTCACAGCACAAGTGACAGTGAGCATACTCCACGTAGCCAGAGGGCGCCATACACTACGTTTGCCTAGACGTGGTCTGCACTCCATTACCTGGCGTAATATTATTCATATTTTTATTTTTATTTCAGCACAGATACCCAAATCAACAGCAAGCTGGCTACCCTCCACCCCAGCAGGGCCAGTGGGGGGGATACCCTCAACAACAAGGTGGATATGGAGGCAATCCGCAACAACAGGGGTACGGTAAGAAATGCTACTACTAAAATGGTAGGAATTTTTTAACATAATTATTCACCATAACCGGTGCGGTTCGTTTCATTCTTCAAAGACCGCTACAACTTTGGGCCTTAAAAGAGACTTAATAGAATATTTGTGTTTTTTTGTCTTGAAACTTCTGCATATAATTAATAATTAAAAATACTATATGGGAAAGCCAAGCTTTGGCAGGAATGGCTTGGCGTTGGCGCGAACGAGTGATAGGCTGAACGGATTCACAGAAAACCGATGTAAAACACCGCGTGAATGAGATTACCAGTCCATTCTGGCGATTTAAGAATTGGGATGGGGAACCTCCCCAATTCTTAAATCGCCAGAATGCTAATCCCAAAAAGGTCGTCAACGCACTCGTAACTCTTCAGGTGTTAAAGGTGTCCATCATAGGCGGCGCCGTTTGTTTGTCACCGGGTAATCGGATGGCTTGATGGTCAACATATCACATAAAAAAATAAGGAAACCTCACTCACACGGCGAGATAAAATACAATGAAAGAGTCAACACATCGACTCATTCGGTGTGGTGTTAACAATGTGTGACTCCGACTATAAAACTATTACGTCTGACTATCCACTCCAGTTTTTTTATGAGTCGGCAAACGAGCATACGGATTACCTGATGGTAAGCAATCGGCGCCGCCCATGGACATCCACAATACCAAAGAAGTTACATAAGTGCATTGCCGACCTTTTGGAGATAGGAGTTGGGGATATAAGGATCTGGAAGGGGAGTGACTAGGCCTCCGGTAACCTCACTCACACGACGAAACACAACGCTGTGGGTTGTTTCACGCCAGTATTCTGTGAGGCCGTGGTATCACTCCGGTCGAGCCGACCCATTCGTGCCGAAGCTTGGCTCTCCCACACTGAAACCTCCTACTCCTTAAAACTCCTGTTTATAGAAGGCTGTTATTAATTTTACTTATAATAATTTTGGTTTTTCATACAAGGGCAACCACCGAATCAAATGCAAGGCATGGCAAATAAAGCAGGATTGGCGGCGTGCATAGCCTGCTTAACTTGCTTTTTCTGCTCCTGCTGCCCAGGGATCATGGGCGCCGGAATGGGTGGAGATGGTGGAGAGGGCGGAGGCCTAGATGGCTCAGCAAATGTGACATCTCCTGCCGACTCGTAGAAATGGTTAAAAAACATCTGATGTTTGTGTTGCTAGTTGAGAAAATATTTCTCTTATTTGATGATGAAAGGTGTAGCAGCAGAAATATTGTCAGTGAATCAAATATCGAAACTGAACTGACTAATGCTGAACTTAAAATATTTAATCTATGAACTTATCATAATTTCGTCTAGTTTGACGTTATTGAATTAAATGTAGATTTTATATTGAAAACAACTAATCCTTGTGCTGTAATTTAAATCTTTATTGAATTTTCTTATTTATAAAGACAAGACAAGAAGTCTGTTACAGAAAGTAACAGTAATTGCCAAGTTTCTTAGTTATTATTATCACTATATATCTCAAAAAACATCAAATATCTCTATTAGTCCAGGGAGCCTGACTTACTAATTGTCCTTTCTTTCTTGACTTAAAAATTGTCAAAAAAGCGTAACAATTTACTTATTTATTTTATACTATGACTGATTGAGGACGATTAATGTATGCAAATAACATTTTAATACATTTCGTCAAAAAAATTAAAATATCAATATGTCAGTACACCTATATTGTGTCATTCGAAAAATGTATTATCATAAGATTTTATACATAACTATTTTTTAAACGTTATTTATTTAAGTGTACACTCTGAAAATAAATCTGTTAAACACAGTCGTTTTGTTTTATTTATCTAATCATCCTGTGTCCATAACCCACTGCTAAGCAAAGGCCTCTTACCACACGGAAAAGTTATTCCTTTTAATGATCAAGGTATAAACCAGAAGGATTATCTATTGAACCCAAATGATCATCACTATTGTTCAAGGCAGTATGGCAATCCAAACTTATAATTAGAGTGACAGTGATCAAAAACTAATCCTTTGAATTTGTTTTTTTTAACATTAATTAGGTTTAGGTTTAAAAAAACTTAATTCTCAATAAAAACAATAAACAATGCCGTTTAGATACTTGAGAACAATAACAATGATTAAAAACTATAAACAAGTCCCATCCAATGCTCTCATTTCTCAAATATCTTGTTTGTAATTAGATTATGCGTAGCTGCGTATTAAATGTGCTAAATGCTTGCATGCTGCTTTACAATAAGCTTATTGTAAAGCTGTGCTCCTCGAAATATTTTTTTAAATTAAAATACTAACCTGTTTTCGATATGAGCAATTAAGAATTCAGTTACTAGAGCAAACGAAACAAATATGCTGTATTAAATGTATTATCTGGCCTTTTATCATTTCTGTCTATCTAAGTGCAAGATTGGGCTTGACAATTTTATTTTAAATAGTAGCTTTTTTATTTAATAACTGATCACCCTTTGCTTGTCAAAATTACAATTTGACGTACTTGTCAATTGAAATTGACATTCGTATTCACGTGTTTACTGTGGTTGCGATGTGCATAAATATTGTTAAAATAGTTGAAAAATAATAGAAATAACAATGTTATTGTTAGAAGATAAAGAGATTGACATATTTGTCGCTAGTAAAATAGGTTCTTTCAAACGTAAGTACAGTTTTCATTACAAAAATTCAAATAACTGACTTCTTTTAGTTACTCAAAGAAATTGTGAGTTATATGTCTTTTTTAACGTTAATATAGTAGTTTATTTATTTTGTTCTATATCTACAGAGGCTAAGTAACGTATTTTAAGCATATTTAGCGTTTAATAATGACTTAATTTTGCTGTAAATAAGTAGCTAAAAAATGTAAACAAAAACCACGCGACGTAAGCGGATTTGTTAATTTCAGTAATTCTACTATAGTTTTGATTGGTTTATATATCATAAAATATGTGTATTATATTGCTAGCATGGTCAAAATACTGCAGAATAAGTTTGAGAACATAATTCTCCTCTTTCGTAATATTTTTCAACAGTAAACACTAGTAGTAAGAGTTAACCTATTATTTGTGATAATGTTCAATGCAACAAGACACATTCTACAATGCAACAGATTAACAGTTCGTCCCAGCTTCGAACTCCAGTTCAAACAAACTGAATTTACAACTGATTCAGGACAGTCAGTCCTCTAGTGAAGCTATTTGCTTGTTCCAAAGTGTAGATTTCAATGTAGAAGAACAAGCAAGAAACTCCATGGTTACTCTTTTTCATAATTTGATACATGACAAATAACTAATTCTATTCAATACTTTTTAAATACAAGAAATACATATTATTTTACAAAGTTTATTTAAAACTGTGTTGTGACCTTGAGGTCATTTCCTTTTTTTGAGGGCAAAAAATCATCAAATGATTTTCTTCACTTGGGTGGAGTGACTTTTACTGACGAACCTGTTCCTTGTCCTGCTTGAGGTCAAGGCCACTCCTTCGCAACCCTGACATCAAAGTTTTGGACTCAATTCCTGAATCAGTTACATTGATAATGTGTGTCTATCTCATTCCATTCAGAGACTTACACCCGGTTTCCGAAAGGCTGATCAATTATTTATTATGTTTTCGGCTTACTCACGTAATAATTTGACGAGATACTCGACTAGTTTCAAGCCATGCTAGATCAGGCTGATCAATGTTAAAATCAATTTAATCTCTTGTCAAGTCATCTGATTGGTTGACCGCATTATCAACAACCAATCAGATGACTTGACAAGAGATTTAACAGGAGATTAGTTAATTTTAGCATTGACAAACCTTCCAGAAACCGGATGTTATTCATGTATATTTTTGTGTAAAAATTTCAGACATAAAATACCACACAGATACAACTAAAAATAATAAGAAATACATAGAGAACCTAGTTGACATAAAGACACTGCAGAAAGATGAGGGGATCACACGGATGGAGTGGGGCAACGCTGATCAGACAGAAATACTTATCGGACGCAAAAACCAACAGGTGACTTAATTTATTTATGACCCACCCTGGCTTTGCCCGGGTGCAATGCTGATACCGAATTCCTCCACTATTTAATGGATGTTATTTATACTTATAAATATAATAAATCTATAGAGAGGTCAATTCTGTACATTAAATATATTTTCAAAATAACTACCAGGGGTGATGAGTGATCGATACTGATGCCAAAACTGCAATCAGTAAAAATTTTGTCTGTCCGTCTGTATGTATCTTCCTTATACAAACCTTACAAAAACTTGGTAAGATTATTCTTTATACTCCTGGGCAGGTTATAGGACACTTTTCATCACACAACAAATAATAGAAGCAGAGCAGTGAAGGGAAATATTGGGAAAACAGGAGAAGTTACTAACTTTTTTAAGTTTCCGTCGCGTGTGTAGCCTTATAAATTTACCCATTGGAGATTATTATTATTGATTTACACAGCACGCGGGTGAAGCCGCTGGCGAAAGCTAGTTGTTATACATATAAATTTTCCTCATCAATCAATCTATCCATTAAAAAAAAATCGCAACAAAATCCGTCGCGTAGTTTTATAGATTTAAGCGTACATAGGGATATAGGGACAGAAAATGCTACGTTGTTTTATACTATGTAGTTATATCAAGTTATAGTAAGCAATCAGCGCCGCGCAAGGACACTGGCAACACCGAGTTACAACTTTACAATTGTGTTTACTTAAAGGAATTGTATCCAGGCCGTAAACTCCAAAAAAAAAAAATTACAATTGTGCTCCATCGGAATCTACACTTTGGAACGAGCAAATAGCTTCACTAAGAGGACTGACCGACAGACTGACACTATTTTTTGTTTTAAATTTTGTTTGACGTTCAAAAGTGCCTGTAAAGGTCTAATTGGAATAAATGATTTTTGACTTTTGACTTGGCTGTCGGCCTTTTGTGGGTTGTGACTAGGGAAGGTTTGTGCGTTTAATAACTCATTTACACTCTTATCATTATCAAGGTCTAAAAACTTAATAACTTACATCTTTGAAGTATTCCTCCAATCGATGTGATGATGATGACGCCGTGACTGATTTTGATTCCCGACCATGTATACGCTATTTAAAAACGTTGCGTCTCAATTCTCCTTCTCCTGTGGGTGCGTTTACAAACATACAATATGTCACATACACATCACACACAGACTCACGGAACAATAATTGGGTAGTTTCCTAGGTTAAAAATAAATTAATTCGACGTTTCAATACAATAAAATATTGAAAAAAACCCATACTTTTATTCATCGATCGATCGATACACTAACTTTTAGATATTTTGTAGCTAATTATTAAGAAATAAGAAAGCTTTGACGCAAAAATACTATTGTTTACATTTGAATAAAAGTATTAAATTTGACTAGTTGAAAACTACCGTATTTATAAATCACAAAAAGATTTTTTCAATGCAAATCAAACAGTCTGATTCAGATTCTAATCCTGCTCATTTACACTACAGATACAAATCTACAATACACTCCAAGGTTTCACGAAGTCCTACACAGCTGATTTCGCGCCAGGTGAGGTCGTTGGCCTCGGCCGGTGTAAGAGGAAGCTGCTGGCTGCAGTCTCCAGTGGAGTCGTGAAGATATGGAGCAAGAAAACTGAGGAGATTGTTAACGTTGGCAAAATTGATCGGATGAGGGTCTGTGCAGATGATGATACTGTTTTTGCTACCGGTAAGGATTTGTTTCGCATTTAAGTGTGGGAGAGCCATGCTTCGGCACGAATGGGTTGGTTCGACCGGAGTGACACCACGGCCTCACAGAGAACCGGCGTGAAACATCCACAGCGTGGTGTTTCGCCGTGTGAGTGAGGCTGAGGTTACCGGTGGCCCAATCCTTCTCCTCCCCCAATCCCTCCTAAATCCCTTAATCTCCAAATCCCTAATCCCTAAAAGGTCGGCAACGCACTCGTAACTCCTCCGTTGCGAGTGTCCATGGGCGGCGCTGATTGCTTACCATCAGGTAATCCGTCTGCTCGTTTGGCGACATATTAAGTAAAAAAATCGCAGGTGGAGAAGAAAACGACTTGAAACTATGGCGTATAGGGGAGACCGCACCTACATTCGTAGCCAAGAACCTCCCTCATGACTGGTTGCAACTCAGAAGGCCTGTTTGGGTGACTGACCTCACCTTCTTACCGCAAGAGGGCGGGAGGTTAGTCGCTGTGTGTTCCAGACATGGATATGTTAGGTAAGTCAATAGCAAAATTATTATTAATAGGTTACTAATGATGATGATGATGATGGATGTCGTGGTGGCCCGGAGGTTAAGGAGCCCGCTTCTCATGCATGAGGGTGTGGGTTCGAAACCTGGCAAGTACCAATGTGACTTTTCCGAGTTATATGTACTTTCTATGATTATTTAGACACCACTGACATACGGTGAAGGTAAACATCGTGAGGAAACCTGGACTTATAATTTCTAATTATAAGTTTGAAATCGCCAACCCGCATTGATCAAGCGTGGTGATTAAGCATTTGACTGCCGACAAAAACTGTTCTAACCCTTCGCTAGCGTCGGACAGCATTGTGGCGTTCTAAGTGTTAATGCTCTAACCTTCTCAGTATGAGAAGAGGCCTTTGCTCAGCAGTGAGCACTTATAGGCTGATGATGATGACTTACTAAAGATGTGAGTTCTTTTGGGTCCAGCGAAAGGAAACGGAAAGAGAGGAGAAGGAACGGGGGGATTTTTAGTCAGTAAGAGTCTGACACTCCCTCCTACCCGGCCCTGGGCGGGAGAAGTCATTTGATGGTTTTCCCCTTACAAGAAAAAAAGATTTTTAGTAGCCTTGAAACTGCTGGACAGTAGCTAGTTTAATTAATATTTTGGCTAATTATTAATGTTTCTTGTTGTTACAGGTTATATGATAGTCGAGCACAAAGAAGGCCCGTGATTGCCGTGGACTTTGAGAAGATGGCTGCTACCTGCATCACCAACAGCTTCGACGAAAGGTCAGTATATTCAAGGAGTAGTAGATAGACTCGGATCGCCTGATGATGGTAAGCAATCAGCGCCGCCCATAGACCCTCGCAACTCCAGAAGAGTCAAGTGTGTGAGAGCCAAGCTTTGCCATGAATGGGTCGGCTCGACCGGAGTGATACCACGGCCTCGCAGAAAACCGGCGTGAAACAACCACAGCGTTGTGTTTCGCAGTGTGAGTGAGGTTACCGGAGTCCCAATCCCTCCTCAATCCCTAAATCTCCAATTCTCTAATCCCTAAAAGGTCGGCAATGCACTCGTAACTCCTCCGTTGCGGGTGTCCATGGGCGGCGCTGATTGCTTATCATCAGATAATCCGTCTGCTCGTTTGCCGACATATTACATAAAATAAAAATAAAATACAAGCAATGGAATCGTAACTTCGTTCGTGTTGCGAGTATCCATGGGCGACGCCGATTGCTTACTATCAGGTAATACACTCGCTGGCCGTCCTATCACATGAAAAAAGTCATCAAATAGCTTCACTCGCCAAGGGTAAGTCGGTAGGGAGTCTCAGACTCTTACTGACTAACCTGACCCCCCCCCCCTCTCCCCGTTCCATCTTCTGTTTAAAGCCAAGATGCAAGAAGAAGGATTATCAGTCAGAGGCCATCGCTGAAAATCAGCGCTGCGACACTGTCTCGCATAGTGTCGTTGCATATGCTAAGCGAAGGCCATTTCGCGTGCTTGTGACGCATATTTTGCCTTATATTACCTACTCTTTTTTACATTGTACTAGCTACTCCCGCGCGGTTTCACCCGCTGCTCAGCTCCATTTGATCGTAGCGTGATGTTTTATATCCCATAGCACTCAGGAACATTGCAGCTATCTATCAATGAAAGAATTTTGGCAATCCGACCAGCGGTTCCAAAGATTACCCCCTACATACAAACTTACAAATTTTACCTCTTTATAGTATTAGTATAGATAACCATGTTTTTTTTTTGTTTCATGTTTATACACTTGTTTCATTTTGTTTCTTATGTGCGTCATAGACGCGATTAAATACTTTTTATTTCTTCATTAAACAGTATGTTTGTAAACGCACCCACGACATAGGATAAAAATCATAAACTCTACAAAAACACTTTATTTTCTCCACAGGCAAGTCTTGGTAGGTTTCGGAAGAGGCCAACTCCATCAAGTGGACCTTCGTAAGGGCAAACCTGATAAGGGCTACAAGGGATGCGTGGGCGCAGTGACCGATATAGCGATAGTGAGGGAACGGCGACTTATAGTCAGTTCGAGTCTCGATCGACAATTAAGAGTGCATGATTACGCTAGCAAGGATTTAGTATATAAGGTATGTATGTTTTTTTTAATGTAATTGGTCGGCCAACGAGCTGACGGATTACCTGATGGTAAGCAATCAGCGCCGCCCATGGACACCCGCAGCACCAAAGAAGTTACGAGTTGGGTGGTTTCGGATATTTAAGGATTGGGAAGTGTTAGGGGGAGGGGGAGGGATTGGGCCTCCAGTAACCTCACTCACATGGCGAAACACAACGCTGTGATTGTTTCACATCGGTATTCTGTGAGGCCGTGGTAACAGTCCGGTCGAGCAGACCCATTCGTGCCGAAGTTTGGCTCTCACACACTTAATTAATATTCAAAACAACAAAAAACTACCATTTTAATTATTTTTCTACTCTAGCAATACCTAACTTCGAAGCTGTCATGCGTCCTGATACAGACAGAGAGCTCGACTCCTCTCACCAGAGAGGATGCTGATATCAAAGAGGAGAAACCAGAGATAGAAGAAGTAGAGGAGAAGGAAGCTGATGATTTAGATTCGTTGTTTAAAAATATGGAGACTGTCGGGTAAGATGATTTTTTTTGTAATATATCGGCAAACGAGCATACGGATTACCTGATGGTAAGCAATCAGCGCTGCCTATAGACACCCGCAACGGAGGAGTTTCGAGTGCGTTGCCGACCTTTTGGGGATTAGGGATTTGGAGATTTCGGGATTGGGGAAGTGGAAGGATTGGGCCTGCGGTAACCTCACTCACACGGCGAAACAATGCTGTGGTTGTTTCACCCGATTTTCTGTGAGGCCGTGGTATTACTCCGGTCGAGCCGACCCATTTGTGCCTCGAAGCTTGGCTCTCCCACACTTTAAATAGAAACTAATATTAGTATAGATTATTGTAAAGTCTGCGCGACATTTTTGCCATGCGCACGCTACTCATGAATAAGAGTCCTGTTGTGACTCGAAACTAGTCGAGCTTTTCTCAATTAATTCACGTGATTACGTTGTTATAATTACAATAAATCGCAACTTCTTTTATTGCAGTGAAAAACCGAAAAAGACGAAACTGAAACCGGAACCCGAAGAGTTGCCAGCTAAGAAAATTAGACCGTCATCAGAAGGCTGCACTGACGCTGATTTGGAAGACACAGAAGATGCGATCAAGAAGCTTCTGAGGAGTACTGAGAAGCAGAAGAGGAAACGGGAACAGAAGAAGAAAGAGAAGAAAGCTAAAAGTGTGTTCCATAATGCTTAGAATAAAATATAATAAAAATGTTTTTTGGTTTTTCTTTTGTTACGACCGCCGCTATCAACCACCTTGAAAATCCCCGCGACTTTATGTGATAAGACAGCAAACGAGCTGACGGATTACCTGATGGTAAGCAATCAGCGCCGCCCTTGGACACCCGAGGAGTTACGACGAGTGCGTTGCCGACCTTTTGGGAATTAGGAAGATATGAAAATTTTTGGGATCGCGGAGGGGAAGGATTGGGCCTCCACTAACCTCACTCATACGGCGAAACACAACGCTGTGTTTTTCTGAAAGACCGTGGTAACACTTCGGTCGAGTCGACTCATTCGTGCCGAAGCATGGCTCACCCACTAACAGTCGTTACCATTTTTTTTTAATACGGAGTTAAATGTCCTTATTACCTGATGGTAAGCAACCGGTGCCGCCAAAAGACACTCCCTACACCACTATAGTTGCAAGTGCGTTGACAGCTTTTTTAGAGTTTGGGGAAATAAAGGATTGGGTTGTTGGATAGAACGTTATTGCACCGACCTTAGTCTCACTGCATCACACAAAAGTTAGCTACCGAGAATCCTTGTAGATATTAGAAAGAAAGAAAGACCTGCGGCCCGGACTAAGCGTTATACCACGTACATCGAGGGATTGGAACAGTTTGCTGGCTGCAGTCTGACCGTCCGAATAGACCAAGGCTAGAGTGAATAGGCTCTTAATAAACTAGTGCGCCCTACCATCAACGATTGCATCACTGCTTACCATCAGCTAATCCGTTTGCTCATTTGCCGACCTATACTATAAAAAAAAACAATTCTAAGTTCCCAGTTAATTCAGATGAGAAAGTGATTTTTTTAATAAAATACTGATATCTCACGATAGTTAGGTACTATGTAAAAGTAATCTGATTCTGAAGTTTAAGAAAAAAAATTAAATGATAAAAAGAGGCATCCAGCTTCAATTTAATTTACCGGTTTTTCAAGGCATCAATATAATTACGGTAAATTATCTACCCATCACTACAGAAAAACGGCGCAGCTGTCAATATGTAGTCTATATGTCAATGTCAGAATAGACAGAATTGCGAGTTTGCGAGAATTTAGTCGGAATTTCGCACCCGGAAATTTACTTTTTACTTTCTTCGAATAAAAATTCTTATAACAATCCAATAATACTATTAAAATGTAATCATAATATGTCCAAAAACTATCCATGTTATCATTAGAGCAGTGATTTATGTTTATTTAATTCAGAAACAATGGATTTTTCAAAAATATGTCGAACCTGTATGCAAGGCGATCCGTCTCGATTATTAAATCCAATTTTTATGTCCGAGGATACACACGACCGGTTTTCAGATGTTATTTATTCATGTATAGGAATTAAGGTAAATATTTACAATACATTTAATTTAGAAAGATTTCGTTTTATGTGTTTTTTGCTTACCTTTTCAAGTTGCGAATTCAGCGTATTTTTTTCGCAACATTGCAATATATTTATCTGTTTGTAGTATTTACTTATTTGTTACATTGCTAACGTTATGTATAAAATAAAGTTGTTGTAAATTCCTTTTTAGTACTTAGTACATTAACATTTTAAAACATTAATGAACAATATAAGAAAACATTTATTCACAGCATCCATTTCTTTTATTATTTAAAAGAAATGAATGCTGTGTATTCTGTGTACCTAATTTATAAAAATCCTTATAAGCAAAAAATTGTATCCTTAAATTGATACTTTAGTAGATGAAATTAATACTATTTGCTACAAAATCAAAAGTAAATAAAACCTATTCCTTATCATCTCTTTTCAATAACATAAACAAATAATATGTTATCAGTTTTTTATTTATTGAACACAGATAATAAAATTATTGAAATGAATCATCCACTTTAATACTGTTCAAATACATAATTTTATATAAGTATTAGGTTTTAATGTGTAACTGAACTTATATGCTTAATAATTATTATAAATAAAACAAAATCACTTTCTCTGTCCCTATATCCCTATGTATGCTCGACATGTTTAGTTCTGAGTGAAGATGAATAGGAAATACTGGCCTCATCAAAATAATTGTATACAAAAGCTGTTTTATAGCTTTGTTTTAAATTGTAAAGCAGACTGTCTCTATGTTTTATTTATTTATTTTCAAAAGCATTTAACCGTGGCTGAGTGACTTACTAATCAAAATCAAATTTATTTGTAAAACATAGGTGGTTACATCATGGTGTTGGGTAAACAATATGTTTTGCCATGTAGGCATACAAATTTTTCATATTATAATTAAAATAAAATGATAAACCCCACTTTTAACCAGTTATCTTTTGTTTCGAGGGGCAAAATGTGTGATGTAAAGCTTACCAACCTCCCGCTATATTACTTTACTCTTTGTTACCAACCTTCTGACAGGGCCCTCAGGTGGTCAATAAAACACAGAAATACAAAGTTTAAGGTAACTAATACCTAGGAAGAAGTGATTATATTGTTCAATATACAACACTATTTATACATATGAAAGCTACATAGGTACAAATTAGTATATGTATTCATATTTTTTTAAAAAAAACCTAGGTTTTTCTCATTTGTGTTGCGTTTGCTTACACAACATACAGTTTCAAATCCAGACTCACAGATAAACAATTTGTGGATCAGTTGTTATGTGCGGGAAAATCTGCGACGCCCTGTGTGGCAGCCAGTTGCCCAGTCATTGCCTACTTATCTTAACATTATCAGTACTGATGAATGTAGTATAATAATATGATCACAGATCACACCACAAACGATCATATTATTTGCCAGGGTGGGGCGAGAGAGAGTGTCAGACTCTTACTGACTAAAACACATCCTGTTCCTTCTCCTGCTCGGCGGAAACCGCGATACAAAATTGCTGAACATCAGCCCTGTTGGGCTCTGTCTGTAGTTTTTTTTATATATGGAATAGGTCTGATGGTAAGCAATCAGCGCCGCCCATGGACACCCGCAACGGAGGAGTTACGAGTGCGTTGCCGACCTTTTAGGGATTAGAGTTTTGGAGATTTAGGGATTGGGAGGAATCGCGGGAGGGGAAGGATTGGGCCTCCGGTAACCTCACTCACACGGCGAAACACAACGCTGTGTTTGTTTCACGTCGGTAATCTGTGAGGCCGTGGTATCACTCCGCTCAAGCCGACCCATTCGTGCCGAAGCTTGGCTCTCCCACACTTAAAACACGTAGTGGTCTAATGGCTCTCTAAGGCGTGGAACGACACGCGTTGTACGCTTGTGTTTCTTCAGTTAATTATTGTCTGCAGTTAGCGCGTTGGCTGAGTCTACCGCACAACGTGCTGCAGACAACTCTTTGTGTGATCCACAAATTGTGGTTCCTGGTCTGTGTGTGATGTGTATGTCATAGCGTATGTTCGTAAATGGGAATTACAACACAGGAAAAAATCTTAAAAGGGCGCAACTTTTTTATAGAAAGATAAGAAATGAATCAAAGGTCTACATTATTACTAAGAATTTAAGAAAATCGTGAACAGATAATGGCTAATGAAATCAAGATTAGTAATATTATTTCAGAAATATCCTGAAAAAGCCACAGCAGTAATTCGTACAGTACGGCCGCCGTATCTTGGCGAGTCTGAAGTTAGTCGTTTGTCTGCGCAATGGATCTTTTAGTCACATATCAGAACCGACTAAATGATGTAACAAAGAAATGTATTGTAAAACTGATTGAAAAAGAGTAACCATGGAGTTTCTTGCTCGTTCTTCTCCATAGGAATCTACACTTTGGAACGAGCAAATAGCTTCACTAGAGGACAGACGGACAGACTGACACGCTTAATTTTAAAGCTCCTTTTATATACTTTTTTCCTTTTTTGCTTGCTTGACGTTCAAAAGTGCCTACTGTAGTCTAATTGAAATAAATGATTTTTGACTTTTGACTTAACAAAATTGTGAACTCGCTAAGATACGTCGGCCGCACTGTACTGCAGTACGCGGCTAGATTGCAATTTACTCACTTGTAGGTATTGCTAACGAAAATGATAAATTACAGATCAAGTGTGACGATGGTCTACCGCAGAACATGTGTACGATTTGCATGAACCTCTTCAACACGACGCTGAAATTCAGAAAACAATGTAAACAAGTCGAAACTGAACTCCTTAAGATCAAAACCGAATCCCAATCTGACGATGATATTACCAACGATGATCAATTCCCTACCACCACAACTGAAAACCCACACAACACTAATCACCATAATTCAGTATACATCAATTTAAATAAAATAAAATGTGAATCTGGTAGCTTCAAAACTGATGATGATGATTCCATTAAATCATTAAAATGCAACGACGATACCGATGACGATCAACCGTTAAAATACTTACAAAATACAAATAATAATAAAAATAATCCCAACGATGAAAACTACAGAAATAACGATAACGAAAGTGATTTAAGTAACAACGTTTCCAGCAGTACTGTTAAGAGTAAAGAAGTTGTGAAAAGAAATTACTCGGATAACGATAACGATGGACGTCGATCTACCAGTGTAACGGAAATGCCATATATTATTACTGAAAATGATAGAAAAACGAAAAGGGTGGTTTGTAAGCTTTGTCAGAAGGAGTTATCGATCAGAAGTATAGATAGTCATATGGTGAGGAGGCACCCAGGGGCTGATGAGAGGAAAGTCAAGTGCGAACTCTGTGATAAATATGTGATGAAGGATAAGCTGAACAGACATCGGTTGTTGACGCACGGCGCCGTTGAAGTCAACTGTGGGGTGAGTTTTTAAATACATAATTTCTACATAGTATAAAATAAAGTCGCTTTCTCTGTCCCTATATCTCTAGAAAGACAGAGAGGGGGAAGGGAGAGATAGAATGGGAAAGAGGGGGAAAGAGATAGCTAGAGATATATTGTATAGAGAGGGTGATTCGAAAGAGATAATGGATTGAGACTGAAAGGGAGAGACAGAAAATGGGTGTGGGAGGGAAAGACAAAGAGATAGATAGAGAAAGAGGGGAAAATGAAATAGGCGTTGTAAGGGGGAAATGCAGATCGATTGATGAATAAAAGTACCTATATTTATTTATCAATATTTTATTGTATTGAAATGTTGAATTAATTTATTTTTGACCTAGGAAACTACCTAATTATATTGTATAGGAGTTCCAACACATTCTACCTTCCGACATGCAAAAAATGAATATTCTTTTCATTACATACAAACAATCAAACATTTAAGGAAAGTACCTAACAAATTATTTAAATTATAAAAGAAAAAATGTAACATTATTATAGACTACTAGCGGCCCGCCCCCGCTTCGCACGGGTCCAACTATCTCGCTATTGTTACGTGCCTGACATCACGTTCCTAACTATGCGGGCTTGGGTTACGGGATTGGATGAAATTAAACACTAATACCGGTTTTCAGACTTTCTATTGCACTTAAGTGACAGCGTCCACGGATACGGATAAGTTATCGGCGTTCCTCTCCAGCAGAGTCCGGCCGACTGACACAACTTTGCCGTTCACTGTTCACGCTGACTTAACTCACTTAACTGACTGCACTTCACTATTTCACTGTACTTCACTATTTCACTCACTTTTCTTCTTTTCACTTCTTCCTTTTCTTCCGAATCGCTTTGGACTTAGAACTCAACTGCTAGCGGTGAGCCGCAGTTCCGCTTATATACCCCCGGTTAGGTTCTGGAACATTCAATTTCGTTATTCTTTTTGATCGTCATGCCTCCAGAACCTTCCAATAATTTCGTTATTCATTTTTATTTATTCTCCTTCTCGCTCTTTAATTTTTCATTTCTTTCACACAAAAGCTTCCAGAAAGTTCCACAAAAACTTCCATCAACTAAAAAACTCCATGCTTACGGCGGGGCTCGAACTCGGGGTCTCTCTGGTGTAATCCACACGCCTTACCGATTACACCAACTCGTGTTGACAATTCACGACGAAATTTACAATCTCTAGGCAACGTTTGACAACCATCCATTGACGTCATGATGTCAAAGAGTTTGAACCGCGTTTCCGTCACACTGCCCCCCTCTTAGATTCGCTCGTCCCGAGCATCGTTGCTGCCGTAATACCTCGCCAACCTGTCTATATGGACAACTTTCAAAGGGCTCCTTGAAGACTTCCGAATTCTGTAAGTAATGTCATTGATCTTCGTGACTATCTCGTAAGGACCTTCCCAACTCGGTTGCAGCTTTGGAGATTTTCCCTTCCTTCTGACTGGATTATGAAGCCAGACCAATGACCCCTCTTCAAACCCAACAGAATTGGCTCGTCGATCATAGCGCGTCTTTGCGCGATCACTAGCTTGAAGACCGGCCTCCCTGATCTGCTCATAAATGTCCAAAATTTTTGCCCTTAACTCGCTTATGTAATCGCTAAACTCGGTGCGAGAGTCACCAGGTGGACAGCCCGATACAAGATCTGCCGGTAATCTCAATTCCCTTCCAAAATTTGCAAATGCAGGCGTCTTTGCGGTACTTTCATGTACAGCAGTCCGATAGGCAAGCAAGAAGAGAGGTATGTAAGTGTCCCAATCTCTCTGATGGCTGTCAACCACCTTTGCTAAGTGTCGCTCCAATGTTTGGTTGAAGCGTTCGACCATTCCTTAACAGCGGCAGTCTTGGCTGGATCAGTCTCAATTCCTCTCTCAGAAATAACATGTCCTAGATAATTCACTTCGCGCTTGAAGAAAGAGCATTTCTTTGGACTCAACTTTAAATTTGCTCCACGCAGCTTGTCGAGTACCTTTTCCAATTTCCTTAGATGATCGTCAAAATCCCGTCCAACGATGATGATGTCATCGAGGTAAACTAGGCAGGTTTCGCCCAGCAGTCCCGCCAGCACCTGTTCCATCAAACGCTCAAAGGTTGCCGGTGCATTGCATAACCCAAATGGCATCACCTTAAATTGCCAGAGTCCCTTCCCAGTTGAGAATGCGGTCTTTTCTTTGTCCTTGGGATCCAAATCCACCTGCCAATAGCCGCTTTTCAGATCGAGCGTTGAAAACCATTTCATGCCCCTCAGTGTGTCAAGTGTGTCATCGATTCTTGGTAACGGGTAGCTATCCTTCTTGGTTACATCATTCAATCGTCGATAGTCTACGCAAAACCTCGTTGAACCATCTTTCTTCTTGACAAGCACGACAGGTGAACACCAAGGGCTAGAAGAGGGCTCTATCACGTCATTTTTCCTCATATCGTCAATCATTTGTTCAACCTCTTTCTCACGAGCGAATGGTATACGTCTGGGCCTTTGACGAATTGGCATTGTATCACCTGTATTTATTTTATGCTTCACCAAACCAGTTCGGCCAATATCACCATCGCTTCTTGAAAACACATCAGAGAATCGAAGAAGTAAATTTCTAGCTTTCATAGTCTCCACTTTTGTCAGACTTTTGTTTTCGTCTAAGATTTTCGTTACAAAGTCTATTCCCGTACTGTCCTTCTTCACAAGATTTTCCGAGCATTTTCTTATCCAGGCCACTTCTTTCAATACGCCCACAGGCTCTCCTTCTTCAATCGTAATTTCTGAATCACTGAAGTTGAATACCGGAATGCGGTTAACATCAGATGACCCCACGACAGTTCTTGCCGGTAGCCATGAATTCACGTGTTCCGATTTATCAATCACAGCGCACCTTCGAGGTAAACTTCCTTCCCTCCTCCTAGGTAATGCGATTGGCACGAGAGTCTGTGATTTTGGTGCAAGAACAGTTCTTCTTAAACAGCAAACTTTTCCCAGGGTTCCACCCTTCATCGGAATTTCCTCAGTTCCACATAGTAATACTCCAGATTTTAAGTCGATGTTACACTGGTGCACTTGCAGGAATTCAAGTCCCATGATGCAGTCATCCAGAATTCTGGCCACAATAACCTCATGTCGATAAACACGTTCCCCAATTTTGATTGTAACATGCAGTTTTCCACTTATCGGTATGCACTGGCCGGTAGCTGATTTCATTTGTAGGCCAACAATTGGTTTAAGGTGTTTCCTGATGTTTTGCTCGAGCAGCCGAACATTTATCACCGTCCTTGAAGCTCCAGTATCTAATGTTAGCTGACTGTTTTTCCCATTTACTTGACCGTCTATCACCAGGGTATTTCCATCGTTAGTTTGCTTGATGTAGATTGTTGGGGTTATTCCACTACCAGCCAGCGCCCACCCCGCAGCCTTGGCTGGATTTAAGTTTCCCTGCTGGTCAGAAGTTGAGACCGCCGCGTCCTTGCGGTTCATCTTCTTCGGGCAGTCGCTCCGTATGTGCCCACGCTCTCCACATCCATAGCACATGAAGTTCCGACGGCGTGGAGGTACCTGCTCCGTTGTCGTCATTTCCCGCAGACGTAAGGTACGGGAGTTGCCACGCACGGCTTCCACTTCCAATGCATGGGCCAGAGCTTCTTTTATGTTCTTGTTATGGCCCAGATGAACAGCAGCTCGTACTTCGGGGTCCCGAATACCGTCAATGAACGCTTGGAGAAGCGTGCCTTCAATCATTGACGGAGTCGACCGGAAAGCTCGACGCACAAGTTTCTCGATTTCCACGGACCATTGCTGCAGACTCTCATTAGCACGCTGAGTACGCTCTTTTAATTGCGCTCTGTACACGTGCTCGAGGTGGCTGTCTCCAAAACGTGCCTCAAGTGCGTCGAGGAGGTCACTAAAGCTGAGATCTCCACTTGCGCCGATAGCTTCTAGCACTGAGAGCGCTTGATCACGGAGGGCCAGGGTGAGGGCTGACTGTGCTTCCTTCTGAGTCCAACCATAAGCCTCCATAAGTGTCTCAAACTGTAGCTTGAACGTTGTTCCGTCATAATGGGGAATCTTGAGCCCTTTCGTTGCGTTTGAGGCCGCATTTGGGGCGTCAAAAACGGCTTCGGCTTGTCACTTCCTGCTTGATTTTGGAGATCTCTTCTTCAACTCTCTCCTCTATCGCCATGACGCGATGTTCCAACTTGCCTAACCCTTCCTCCACTTCTTGGACCCGTTCGACAGCCTTTTGCAGTCCCTTCGTAAAATCTTTATGCATGTGTTCCAAGCGACGCGCTTGCTCCTCTTGGCGACGAGCTTGATCTTCTTTCAGCTCCCGCAGCTGTTCTGCCTGACAGCGTGCTTGCTCTTCTTGGCGGCGCGCTTGCTCTTCTTGGCGGCGCGCTTGCTCTTCTTGGCGGCGAGCTTGATCTTCTTTCAGCTCCCGCAGCTGTTCTGCCTGACAGCGTGCTTGCTGTTCTAGGCGGCGCGCTTGTTCTTCTTGGCGGCGCGCTTGATCTTCTTTCAGCTCCCGCAGCTGTTCTGCCATAATTTGCTGCAGCTGTAGCAGAAGATCCACCTGCACAGGCTTGGCTTCTGCACCGCTGGTTTGAGCTGCAGCACCCTCTTCCCTCACACGCTGCGCTTCTGACATAGCACGGGTACTCACTCCTCTTACGTCCTGCGGCACTAGCGGCATTTTTCTCCAATCCCACTTCTGACACCAAATGTTACGTGCCTGACATCACGTTCCTAACTATGCGGGCTTGGGTTACGGGATTGGATGAAATTAAACACTAATACCGGTTTTCAGACTTTCTATTGCACTTAAGTGACAGCGTCCACGGATACGGATAAGTTATCGGCGTTCCTCTCCAGCAGAGTCCGGCCGACTGACACAACTTTGCCGTTCACTGTTCACGCTGACTTAACTCACTTAACTGACTGCACTTCACTATTTCACTGTACTTCACTATTTCACTCACTTTTCTTCTTTTCACTTCTTCCTTTTCTTCCGAATCGCTTTGGACTTAGAACTCAACTGCTAGCGGTGAGCCGCAGTTCCGCTTATATACCCCCGGTTAGGTTCTGGAACATTCAATTTCGTTATTCTTTTTGATCGTCATGCCTCCAGAACCTTCCAATAATTTCGTTATTCATTTTTATTTATTCTCCTTCTCGCTCTTTAATTTTTCATTTCTTTCACACAAAAGCTTCCAGAAAGTTCCACAAAAACTTCCATCAACTAAAAAACTCCATGCTTACGGCGGGGCTCGAACTCGGGGTCTCTCTGGTGTAATCCACACGCCTTACCGATTACACCAACTCGTGTTGACAATTCACGACGAAATTTACAATCTCTAGGCAACGTTTGACAACCATCCATTGACGTCATGATGTCAAAGAGTTTGAACCGCGTTTCCGTCACACTATCAAAGGGTCACTTTTTCCTTATCTTCCCCTCCAGTTTTATAATATTTTCTTTGATAAGAACCTTCTCCTGACAATAATAAACACAACAAAAAACAATTAGCAAAATTGGTCCAGGCGTTGTTGAGTTATACCTTACCAACACATTTTGCGATCCATTTTTTAGGTATAGTCGTTCAAAAAATCTTGAATCTTTTCAGTACTGCAAGAAGGAGTTTCCAAGTAAAGAGATTCTGATCAATCACGTCGGCACCTGCCCCGCTAGGTACAAGAAGAGGAAGATGAGTGAAAATGTAAGTAATACATATATAACTAATATACATCCCCTGTTCGCGACAACCGCTTTAACGCCGGACCGACCGGTTCCACCGCTTTATGTGACGTCAAAAGTGGGTCGCCGACCATATTGGTTCGGACCAGAGCCTATTACAGTCTAAACAATCACAAGTCTTTCATTCAACCAACCCAGTCAAGAATACAATCACAAGTCTTTCATTCAACCAACCCAGTCAAGAATACCTCGTAGTCCACGTGCCAATACGTGAACAGTGGGTCGCCGACCATATTGGTTCGGACCGGCGTTAAAGCGGTTGTCGCGAACACCCCTTTTATTCACGTGGGTTTCTTATATCCGATTCGGAAAACATTGGCCAGAGATTTTGTTGAAGCATTCTCTGATAAATATGATCCTTTTGAAATGCTATCTCCAACTCACCTTTTTGGCAGACCCCTTCTATGTCACCTCCCCCAATCCCAAAATCTCCAAACCCCTAATCCCCAAAAGGTTGGCAACACACTCTTAACGCCTCCGTTGTTGCGGTTGTCAGGTCAGGATCATGTGATCTGTCGGGTCGGGTGCCATCATATCACATAAAAAAATAAAGTAGAGATCCATAGTCCTGTAGTGCTGATGATTTGTCCGCAAATATGCGGACTGATTACCTGATGGTAAGCAATCTGCACCGCCCATGGACACACAACACCAAAGGAGTTAAAGGAGTTTGTGGGGATAAGAGGTTTTTGAGATTTCGGGTCCAGGGTCGAGCTAGATGGAGTGTCAGACTCTGACTAAAAACCACTCCATACCTACTCCTGCTCCAGGCCGGGCCCGCGGTACCTTATTGCGACAGCCCACACAACCCGGTCGGACACCAGTCACCCTCCCTTTTACTAGAATCCTAAATAATTAACGTTTGCGCTTAATTTCAGGCTCGAAAGATATCTGAATGCGACATATGTAAAATGAAAATGCAGCGAGCGAGCCTACAGAAGCATAAAGCTGTCAAACATGGTGGCCTGCGACCTGTGTGCGAGGTGAGTAGGTTATATACCTATAGTTATGTGACATTACCGACACTACACGTGACACTAAGGACTCCGTGCGTGTTACTAGAGACTTCGTGCGTGTTACTAGAGACTTCGTGCATGACACTAAGGACTCTGTGCGTGACAATAGAGACAGAGTGATACAAGGAAATACGAGCGTGACGCTAGATACTCCGTGTTTGACACTCTAGGGACTCCGGGCGTGTTACTAGAGACTTCGTGCATGACACTAAGGACTCTGTGCGTGACAATAGAGACAGAGTGATACAAGGAAATACGAGCGTGACGCTAGATACTCCGTGTTTGACACTCTAGGGACTCCGGGCGTGTTACTAGAGACTTCGTGCGTGACACTAAGGACTCTGTGCGTGACAGTAGAAACAACGTAATACAAGGAAATACGAGCGTGACGCTAGATACTCCGTGTTTGACACTCTAGGGACTCCGGGCGTGTTACTAGAGACTTCGTGCGTGACACTAAGGACTCTGTGCGTGACAGTAGAAACAACGTAATACAAGGAAATACGAGCGTGACGCTAGATACTCCGTGTTTGACACTCTAGGGACTCCGGGCGTGTTACTAGAGACTTCGTGCGTGACACTAAGGACTCTGTGCGTGACAGTAGAACCAACGTAATACAAGGAAATACGAGCGTGACGCTAGATACTCCGTGTTTGACACTCTAGGGACTCCGGGCGTGTTACTAGAGACTTCGTGCGTGACACTAAGGACTCTGTGCGTGACAGTAGAAACAACGTAATACAAGGAAATACGAGCGTGACGCTAGATACTCCGTGTTTGACACTCTAGGGACTCCGGGCGTGTTACTAGAGACTTCGTGCGTGACACTAAGGACTGTGTGCGTTACAGTAGAAACAACGTAATACAAGGAAATACGAGCGTGACGCTAGATACTCCGTGTTTGACACTCTAGGGACTCCGGGCGTGTTACTAGAGACTTCGTGCGTGACACTAAGGACTGTGTGCGTGACAGTAGAACCAACGTAATACAAGGAAATACGAGCGTGACGCTAGATACTCCGTGTTTGACACTCTAGGGACTCCGGGCGTGTTACTAGAGACTTCGTGCGTGACACTAAGGACTCTGTGCGTGACAGTAGAACCAACGTAATACAAGGAAATACGAGCGTGACGCTAGGTACTCCGTGTTTGACATTCTAGTTATTCCGGGCGTGTTACTAGAGACTTCGTGCGTGACCCTAATTTCTAGGTGCGTGACACTAATGCCTACGTACGTGGCACTAATACCTACGTGCGTGACACTTTGGACTCCGTGTGTGACGCTAGGGAGTCTGCGCGTGACGGTAGGGAATCTATCAGTGACAGCGTGCTATTAGGAAAGGGCGTGAAAGAAGAGATTCTGTGTGTGACACTGGGCGTTCGGTGACATTAGACACTTCGCGGCTCTTGACACTCCGTGACACTAGGCACTCCGTGATACTTGACACTCAGTGACACTAGTCACTTCGTGACACTACACACTCCGTGAAACTTAACACTCGATGCATGACGCTCCGTGACACTTGGCACACCGTGACACTTGGCGTTCGGTGACACTAGACACTTAGCGACTCTTGACACTCCGTGACACTAGACACTCCGTGATACTTGACACTAGTCACTTCGTGACACTACACACTCCGTGAAACTTAACACTCGATGCATGACGCTCCGTGACACTTGGCACACCGTGACACTTGGCGTTCGGTGACACTAGACACTTAGCGACTCTTGACACTCCGTGACACTAGACACTCCGTGATACTTGACACTAGTCACTTCGTGACACAACACACTCTGTGAAACTTAACACTCCGTGATACATGACACTCCGTGAGACTTGGCTCTCGGTGACACTAGACACTTCGCGACTCTTGACACTTCGTGACACTAGACACTCCGTGATACTTAACACTCCGTGACACTTGGCACTCCGTGACACTTGATACTCCGTGACTCTAAAGACTACGTACCTCTGTTTCTGTATTTTTTTCTGCTGCTGTTTAATTACTGTATATGCCTTATGAATGAATAATAAATAACAATAAGTTATAGGTAATAAGTAATTTAATTGATCAAACCCAAATCGAACGCCGGCTTTAGCGCACCCATTCTTCTTCTATTGTGTCTCGGATTACCACGATTTTTAAAATTGTCCACAGCACTGCGGCAAGAGTTTTGGCAATAAGTTTAGACTGAACGAACACTATCGAGCTAAGCATGGATACGAGAAGTTTAAGTGTAGCTACTGCGACTTCCAGAGCGCTGGGATCATGGCCATGCGGGTAAGTACTCCTACATCATCATCATCATCAGCCTATAAGTGCCCACTGCTGAGCAAAGGCCTCTTCTCACACGGAGTTTTTTATGGAATAGATCTGCAAACGAGCAGACGGATTACCTGATGGTAAGCGATCAGCGCTGCCCATGGATACCCGCAACACCAAAGGAGTTACCGGCCTTTTGGGATAAGGGTTTCGAATATTTAAGGATTGGGAAGGGATGGGGGAGGGTGGGTGATTGGGCCGTTGGTCACATCATTTACACGGCGAAACACAACTCTCTGGTTGTTTCACGACGGTTTTCTGTGAGGCCGTGGTATCAGTCGGGTCGAGCCGACCCATTCGTGCCGAAGCATGGCTCTCCCACACTTTTAATCAAACATATAAGTAATTAAATGTATAAGTCCAGGTTTCCTGACGATGTTTGCCTTCACCGTATGTCAGTGGTGTCTAAATAATCATAGAAAGTTTTTCATCCCCATCCCCATCACATAGATGGTTGGCAGTCAACAACTGTGCGATACACGCGTAACTTTCTGCCCCGCACAGCAAAGCTTTGGAATGATCTTCCGGCGGCGGTATTCCCGTACTTTCAAACTTCAAACTTTCACTTGGCTCCTATTCCTTGAAAAAAAAAAAAACAAAAAATGATTCGGTTTTGAAAATCAAACTTATAATTTCTGGTTATAAGTTTAAAATCGCCAATCCGGCTTGAGCGAGTGTGCTGTTTAACACTCAAAGCTTCTCCGTGTGAGAAGGGGTCTTTGCTCAGCAGTGGGCACTTATAGGCTTTTGGTAATGATAATGACACATACTAAAATAGTAATAACAACAGTATTTACTTTGTTTATCATATTGCTTGGTCTAGAACCACGAACGCCGTCACCGTGGCGAGAAACCTTACGTCTGCGAAGCATGCGGGGCCAAGTTCCACGCGTCATATCTCCTCGTCCAACACAGACATTCGCATCGAGCCGAGAAAACTGTTAAGGTAAAATTTAATTATTATATATATTATATCTGTACTATTTTTTTTTAATTTATTTATTTAAATCAGTCAGGCATCTAAGGCCTATATAGAATACAATACATAAATATATTATAACATAATAAATGTGTGAGAGCCATGCTTCGGCACGAATGGGCCGGCTCGACCGGAGTGATACCACGGCCTCACAGAAAACCGGCGTGAAACAACCACAGCGTTTTGTTTCGCCGTGTGAGTGAGGTTACCGGGGGCCCAATCCTTCCCCTTCCCGGACCCTTCCCAAATCCCTAAAATCTCCAAATCCCTAATCCCTAAAATGTCGGCAACGCACTTGTAAATCCTCCGTTGCGGGTGTCCATGGGCGACGCTGATTGCTTAACATCAGGTAATCCGTCTGCTCGTTTGCCGACTTATTACATAAAAAAAAACATTAAGTCATAAACTAATACATATGTTTGTGTATTAAAAACTAATGCACACGAAGTGTCGGCGTCGTGTTACGCTGCGTGGTGTCGCGTAGCCATCCTCGGAACCTCCGATATACGACACCCTTCGGCCAAAACTCTTTCTTGAGGAATGAACTAATGCTAGCGGACCCTCCCTTAAGATCACACACATATCTAATTTCGGCGAAATCGTTAGGACCGTTTCCGAGATCATGTGTTTTTTCAAGCAATCAGCGCCTTCTGTTCGGCTGATTTGTATATCTAAACCATCCAGGGCGCCACTTAGACGCATACAGAAAAATTCATTTAAATCGGTCTAGCCGTTTAGGAGGAGTTTAAATGTTTAATGACATTCACACGTACAGCAGAATTATATACAGGGTGTAAAAAGACACTTAACGAAGCCGTTAACTACGCATACTGCAGTTCTAACTAAGTAGCTTTACGCTAAAATTATCACTGGGAAACGACTTTTATTATAAGGTATCATAAAAATAATATTTTTATTGCGCGCAATGTAAAGCAAACGGGCTTCGTGTCATTGTGTGCGTAGGTTCACAGCTTAGCATTAAAACGCTGTGATAAGTTCGTAGGTCGACGTTTTCCTTCGCAACAACAAAACAATTCTGTAAAATAAAAATCCTACTGAGATGCACGATGTTTTTTGTGTGGGTCTGCATTTATAGTTACTGTTCGTAACTTCAAATGCGTAATTTACTTAGAAAAATCGAAAATTCAGGTAATGTTTGTTTGGAAAAAAGTTTTGTAATAATACTTAGAATTCGATTGCGCAAAAAAATATAATTAAAAATGCATCTTTGACCTTAAATATCTCGAGAACCCGTAAAGTCCCAGCTATGGTCTTGAAGAAAAAAATGATCCAAATAATGGGTAGAATACGTGGCTTTCGGCTTCGTTAAGTGTCTTTTTACACCCTGTATTTTACTTATAATAAAGTTTATACAGCTGCAGAGTTTATTTGTTTTAACGCGCTAATCTCAGAAACTACTATTTCGAATTGAACCATACTTGTCGTGTTCATTAGTCCATTTATCGAATGTGACTGGTAATTAGTGACAAATACTTAATTTAAACACGTGATTGTAATCATGATAACAAACAACTTTCCCAAAGAAACATACACATCACACCCAGACCCGGAACAACAATGCTTTTTTTTTTTTGATACCTAAAAATAAAAGTTGTTTCCCAGTGATAATTTTAGCGTAAAGCTACTTAGTTAGAACTGCAGTATGCGTAGTTAACGGCTTCGTTAAGTGTCTTTTTACACCCTGTAGAAGAAAAGTTTCTTTGAGAAAGTTTTTTGTTATCATGATTACAATATCGTGTTTAAATATCGGACACTTATTACCAATCGCTCTGTTCCTATTTTCGCTTTTAAACTAAAACAATGCTTTTTCTTCCACAGTGCGAGCTCTGTCCAGCCACTTTTAAAGCGAATAATAACCTTCATATGCATAAACTGACCTGCCACAGTAAGGCTTATTATAGTTGCCTAGTCTGTACACGATCGTATAAATGTAAATATTACGCACTGAAACACGTCAGACTCACTCACAGTTTATACGAACCGCCCAGCGTCATAAAATTGGTGCCACAGTGAATGAAAAGCAATAAAATTATTTCCCCTATCCCTCTTTTTAAGGGGGGAAAATCATCAAATGTCTTCTACCGCCCTGGTAAGAGAAGGACTATCAGACTCTTATTGACTAAAAACACCACCGTTCCTTCTCCTGCTTTAGGCCGAGGTCGCGGTGCCTCATTGCACTTGCCCCGCAACCCCGGCTTAACATCGGCCCTATAGGGCCCCGACTGTGGTGGTCTATTGGCTCTTTGAGGCGCGCGCGGAACGCTACGCGCCGTACGCTCGGGTCTGGTTCTGGTCGGCTCGCGAGTTGCCCTTACTCGCCGTCCGCAGCCCCGCGCTTACGGTGGCCGGAGATTCGAGAAAGGGAGTGTCAGACTCTTACTGACTAAAACCCACCCTGTTCCTTAACCTGCTCAAGGTCCACGGAACCTGATTGCGCTTGACTAGCATAACACCCCGACTGAACATCAGCCCTGTCCGGCCCTATCTATGGTGGAATAATCCTTAAATTTCTAAACTTTAAAGGCTAACGCTCTTGTATCTGTTGTTTCAAGTCTATGGATGTGTCAGGTTATATTTAAAGAAACCTGAGGCTTTTAGTCTACCCGAGCTTATTAAAGAGTCAATAGACCACCACAGTTGGGGCCCATAAAGGCTGATGTTCAGCCGGGGTTGCGGGGTAAGCGCAATGAGGCACCGCGGCCTGAGCCCAGAGCAGAAGAAGGAACAAGGGGGCTTTTTAGTCAGTAAGAGTCTGACACTCCCTCTCGCCCGACCCTAGACAAGTCATTTGATGATATTCCCTAATCAAAATTAAAAAAAATGGTTTTGTAATGTGCGTAGTATTTATATAAACTCTCCCGCCCTCCACCTTCTTGGGGATTAAAATGAGTGATTTGTAAATGTATGTCATGTATTAAATATCGTCTCAACTCAAAATGAATGATGGTTGTGTTTATATAGATATTATTATATTGTTAAATAAAAATTATTTATAAGGTTTATTTTCATTATTCATTATTTTCTAAGAATGATCTGTCGGCGGCAGTATTACCGAACCGATACGACCTTCAAACCTTCAAGAAGCGAGCGTACTCCTTCTTAAAAGGCCAGCAACACGCCTGTGACTCCTCTGGTGTTGCAGGTGTCCATTTGTCGGCGCCGCTATTACCGAACCGATACGACATTCAAACCTTCAAGAAACGAGCGTACTCCTTCTTAAAAGGCCTGTGACTCCTCTGGTGTTGCAGGTGTCCATGGGCGGCGCTGATCGCTTACCATCAGGTGATCCGTCTGCTCGTTTGCCTCCTATTCCATAAGAAAGAGAATAGCCCTGTTTTATAACCATGCAGGGTTGTAAGTGCAATAATATTGTATTGAATTGTATGGTCCTTCCCTTTTTTGAGGGAAATGACTTCTCCCGCCCAGGGTGGGGTGAGAGAGAGAGAATGTCAGACTCTTACTGACTAAAAACCCTCCCCGTTTCTTCTCCTGCTCTGAGCTGGGGTCGGGGTTAAATTATTATGCTTGCACCCGCCTCTTTAAGTAAAAGAAGCAATAATTATTATTATTATGCAATATTTATACTTAGAACTTAAGTAAATTAAATATATATTGTAAACTTAATACAATTTTGTACATAAATAAAAGACCTTTATACCACCTTTTGTTGTTATTTTATTTTTTAACCTTTTACATGCATCATTTGTTCTTTTTTTTTACAACATGTCTCTGCATTGTTCTCACATAAGGGTACAATAATGTATACTATAAATGTTACATTATTGAAATTGTAAAACAATATTTTTTTTAAAGAGTTACGATGGAGTTTCTTGCTCGTTCTTCTCCATTCGAATCTACAATTTGGAACGAGCACCTAGCTTCACTGACGAACAGACTGACAGACTACTTTTCAAAAGTACCTGTTTATGGTTTAGTTGGAATAAATGATTTTAACTTTGACTTTGCCCTTTTTTGGTCAGTGGAAAATCATCAAATGACTTCTCCCGCCCAGGGCCGGGCGGGAGGGAGTGTCAGACTCTTACTGACAAAAAACCCCCGTTACTTCTGTTCTGGGCCGAGGCCGCGGTGTCTCATTGCGCTTACCCTGCAACCCCGGCTGATCATCAGCCCTATAAGGTCCTGTCTGTGGTGGTCTATTGGACCTTTGAAGCGTGCGCGAACCTATTACATGACCTAACACCCAGCAACGCCCCAGTCGTCGCAGTTATCAGTAAAGAGCTAATAGACCACCACAGACGGGGCCCTATAAAGCTGATGTTCAGCCGGGTTGCTGGGCCGACGTTTTTTTTTTACTTGCTATAAACTAGTGCTTGACTGCGATCCTACCTGATGGTAAGCAGTAACGCCGACTTTATCCTTTTACTCCTACAATCTCCATACCTATAAAAAAATCCTCGTCGAAGCACTTCAAGACATGTCCTATGAAGACACAGAGAAGTTATTATTAGTTCCTAAATACCTGTAGTAAAGGTTTTCATTTTTATTTTTATATTTTTGTTATAATTATTATTTCATTAAACATAGACATAGAGTTTAGGTATCGTTTTATCCTGTTATTTTTAATATAATTTATATAACGGAACAACACTTTGTGTGATTCACAAATTGTTGTTTCGGGTCTGGGTGTCATGTGTATGTGACATTGTATGTTTGTAAACGCACCCACAACACAGGAGAAAATACTAAAGTGGGGCAAAGTTTTTATATATAAAAAAAAAAAAATTAGTAGCATTATTTCCTTAGTTTAAAAACACTTAATATGTACATATGATTATTTACACCTAAATTATATTTGGATGGAAAGACTGCAGCCGGCAAACTGTTCCAATCCCTCGATGTACGCGGTATAAATGACGAGGCAAAGCGCTTAGTCCGGGCCGCAGGTGTCTCAACAACGTAAGGGTGGATATTTGCCGTACGCCGGGATGTCCGAAGGTGAAATGGGAATGGCGGAATCAAATCGTGCAATTCCTGCGCACACTCTCCAAAATGCATCCTGTAGAACACCGCAAGGCTGGCTACTCTGCGCCTGTGCTCGAGACTCTGAAGATTGGACCCAACCAAATCCGGATCACCAATCAGCCTCATTGCACGCCTTTCCACCGAATCCAAAGCCGCTAGGTGGCATTTTGCAGCACCAGCCCATATGTGGCTGCAGTACTCCACACACGATCGGATCTGTGCTTTGTATAACATTAGAAGCTGGCTCGGGGTGAAGTACCGTCGGGCTTTTGCCAGAACGCCAAGTTTTCTAGCAGCTACCGCGGCCCTGGACTCAATGAACCGCCCAAAGTTGAGATCTGAAGCAATGTCCATTCCCAAGAACTGAAGGCGGTCGGTGAATTCCAAGGATTCATCCCGAAAAACAGGAGCCAAGGTGAAGGGGCTCCTTTTGGCGGTGAATAGACGCCTGTATTTTGGTGGCGTTGAATGCTACCAGATTAGCTCTGCCCCACTTGGAAACTGTCTGAAGTGAGACATTCGTACGCTCTACCATAGCCTCCCTTTCAGACTGGATTAGCTTCTTACTAGCCCGAGCACTGGGCAGGTATCTCTCTACAACTGTGCTATCATCTGCATACCCAAAGATACCAGGCACTAGCAGATCGTTAATGTGGAGCAGGAATAGAGTTGCAGAGAGAACAGACCCCTGAGGAATACCGGCATTAGTCGACATAGGCTCTGATGAGCATCCATCGACAACAACTCGGAGTGACCGTTCACTCAGGAAGTCTTTTACCCAGTTTATCAGACCAGGAGAAATGCCGTACGCTGGAAGCTTAGACAAAAGGCCATCGTGCCATACCCTATCGAAGGCGTTTGAGACGTCTAAGGAAACGGCAATAGCTTCCCCATTCCTCTCGAGGGCCTCGCCCCACAAGTGAGTGGCATAAACTAGTAGGTACCCGGTAGACCGATTGCGGCGAAATCCATACTGTCGGTCGCTGAGGAGATCGTTACCTTCTAGATATGCCATGAGGCGCGAATTCAACACTCGCTCCATAATCTTGCAGAGTATGGAGGTTATCGAAATCGGCCGATAGTTGGCAGGATCGGCACGACTGCCCTTTTTGGGCACGGGTTGCACGTTGGCGAGCTTCCAGGACTTTGGCACAATACCAGTCCTTAATGAGAGGCGATACAGGCGCGTCAATACAGGAGACAACTCGGGCGCACAAGCCTTGAGAACTATCGCTGGTATACCATCCGGCCCACTAGCTTTATTCACGTCTAGACGACACAGTGCTTTCTTTGTTCCTTAAGCGAACCTCGAGCATCGAGGTGTCGCAGATAGGCAGAGTCGGTGGAGTAGCACCGCAAGTGTCAAGACGAGATTTATGGGCGAAGAATGATGCAAAGAGACCTGCTTTCTCTCTCGCGGTATGAGCCAGTGTACCATCAGGTCTAACCAGCGGAGGCAGTGTGGGCCGACAGAAGTTCGCTTCGACCGACTTGGCAAGGGACCAGAATGCTCTGCTACCGGACGGTTGTGCAGAGAGTTTTGTGCCAATATAGGTAATGCGGTTGAAGCGAGCCCTTCTCAGTGCCTTTTTGTAGGATTTGGCAGCATGGTTAAAGGCTCTCTTCTTTGAGCTCAGATCCGGAGCTTTACGGTCACGAGCGTTAACCCAGGCGAGAAAAGCCGAATGTTTACGCTCTTCAGCTTGAGCGCATTCGGCATTGAACCATGGGTGAGCTAAGCCCCCGACGGGTACGTCAGTATGTGGGATGGAATACTCCATAGCTTGACGGATCACATCGGATACAGCATCCGCACAGCTCGACGGATCTTCAGAAGAGAAGCAGACCCGCTGCCAAGGATAAGATGCGAAGAAGTGCCGCATCTCATCCCAATCTGCTGACTTGTAACGCCACATCCGCCGCCCACCGCGTGAGTCGCAGTCAGGCGGAGAGAAGGACGAAAAAGACTTCACCAGGCAGTGATCTGAAGTTCCAAGGGGCGAAGAAACTGTTACAATACATCTGTCTGGATCAGTAGTCAACAGAAGGTCCAGGCAATTGGCAGTATGACCAGCCACATCAGGCACCCTAGTCGCCTGCCGAACCAGCTAGGACAGGCCCATCGAAACCGCAAAGTTCCACGCCTCTCTCCCAGCATGGTCGGTCCTCTGGTATGGGAAAAGCCAGTCGTAATAAGGTATCGCTGCCTTGTCCTGGAGCAGGACAAGCAA